AAATATTTTGTTACAGAGAATTCAAATTTATCCAAAGGGAATTTCACCAAGTACTAATCAATACCTGGGCAGTTAGGATTTTCACATAACAGCCTCTGTCATATCCTCCATCTCATCTTATTTGAAATGCAGGTATCATACTAGTTCTTCAATAAACATGTTAGTATGCATTTCTGAAATAGTTTTAAAAATTATTTTGTGCCCATTCTGGGGCTTGAAATCAGGACCTGGACTCTTTCTTGAGCAAAAAGCTCAAGGCTATTGTTCTACCACTTGAGCCACAGCTCTACTTCTGGCTTTTTGGTGGTTAATTGGAGGTAAGAGTCTCAGAGACTTTCTTGCTCAGGCTGGCTTCCAACTGCAATCTGTGGATTTCAGCTTCCCAAGTAGCTAGGTTACAGGCATGAGCCACCAACGCCTGGCCTCTTAACTAAAAGCTTAAAAGATTGTACCCTAAGAGTATTTTCATATGTAAAAACAAAATGTATGCTTAACAATATCTTCGCTTAATATTGATATTTATGCTTAATAGTATCCAGTTCCATTAAAAAAAAAACCCAAAACACATCTATTACATTCTTGCAGTGATTACTTAAGTGGGCCCTGAAACTTAATTTTGGTTTTACTAATGAGTTACTATTTTTTCCAGCAATGAATTCTGATCATGTTCTCATGTGCTAATTTCTGAGAAAATGAAAATATTAATATTTATATTCTTGCCTCTGTATTACTATATTCCTTGGCAATATGAAGATATTTCTAATGTAATTTATCCCTTAAAAAACAAACTGAATTACCATTATGATGGTTAACCACTAGATGCCACAGTTGCTTCACACAAATGAAATCAATTCAGCTTTGAAAATAGCTCAAGAACATCTTGAATCAGTGTCAATAAAATCCTAAGCTTGATTTAACCCTGTAATAGACAAATTTAATGAATTATTGAAGTTTTTCATTTAGCTTTTATAAGTGATCAATGCATCCTTCAACAGCCATCCAGATAATACTGTGTATTTAATAGATTTAACTCCAGGTTGTGAAACGTAATTATTACATTACGATAGCCAAATATGGACTTGATTGGCTTGTTAACAGATTTAGGGAGGACAGGAAATCAGCTTTGCACTTTTCTCTGCAAAATATATTAGGAGGTTTTTGTTCTTATTGCTTTTTTTTCAAAATTTGCCACCAGGATGCTTCACAAAGGTTTTATAAAATGATTTACAAGTATCAACCTAAATGTCCCTCCGCAAATGAATGGATCAAGAAAATATGGAATATATACACATGGGAATTCTCTTCCATCAGAAAGAATGAGATTGTACTGTTCATAAGGAATGGAAAAACTTGGAAAAATTATATCGAGGGAAGTAATACCCAAAGAAACACAGGTTGCATCATTTTCCTCATTTGTTGTAACTAGAAAGTGCCTATAAATCTACAAGGAAACACACTGGACAGTAAAAGACAAAAAATACACTTGGACATAATAAATTATACAGGATATTCGACATTCACACAGTGAGACCAAAGGGGCTAGTCTTAGAAGAGAATCACAAAGGCTCAATAGTTATGAGCATCTGATTATATAAAATGATGTTTATCAAAATGAACTCCAAGAAATTGAAACAAAAGGTTTTATGTTATTTTGTTTCTTATACTTTTTCCACCTCCTTTGTCACTGTTTTTTTATTTCTGTACCTTTTGTCTTGTCTGTAAGTTTACCCATTTTGGGAAGGATAAGGGGAAGCACAGAAATGATGGGACAAAGGTGAACTAATTCATCAGTGTTACTAGACACTGTGTTGAAAATGAACTATATAAATTGTGGAAGGTAACTGGAGGGAAAATCTGGGAAAAAATAAGGGAAGAAGTGACACTGTTCAAAAAGAAATGTACTCATTACCTGACTTATGTAACTCACCCCTCTGCACATCACCTTTGCAATAACAATAAAATGATTTACAGGTTTATTTACTGGCTTAGTCTTGGTTAGCTAATGATAGCAATTATATTGGGCTTTCTAGCTAGGGATAAGAGAATTACGTGCATTTATATATTCATTCTTTTAATATATTGCACAGATTTTCCTATGTATTTTAATATGCAATTATGCTTTTTCTTCAATTATGTTTCCACACAAATTTGTTTCCCAACAAATTTTTATCTAAATGATATTTTTTCTTAAATTCTTCCTAGAATTTTTAAAAATCATTTTTAACAAAGAAAAGTTAGTCTTTAGGAGAGATGTCCAACAATATTATCAAAAGGTCATGTATCTTCCACATGAAAGTAAGCCTAAGAAAATTACTTTGCTGACTTTGGGAAATACAAATAAGTATGTACAAGAAATTCAATAAATATAAAATCAAATTCATATGTAAAAAACTTTCCTTACACTTGTGCTTATTACAAATGAGAAAGCAGTAACAACTGACTGTGTGAAGAGAAGAAAAAGATGTTTTTTTTTCTCTTATTCCAAAGGGAAGTTTTAAGTGCTCTGAATATACTTTGTTCCTTTCTAGTTTTTCTCTCCATGAACACCAGAATGATCCTATTAAATACAAGTATAGGAGTCCTACTGTCAAATATCCGAAACAGTTTTGTCCTGACTCTATAAAATACCTTATTTTTCACTCTGAATAAAAGCCAACGTCTTTATAAATGACTACATTGCTCTAAATCCACATTCTTCAATATTCTAACCACTAGTCACCTATTGAATATTTGAAATATAATATTTGAATATAATAAGCTGAAATATGTTGTAAGCCTAACATGCTTAAGGGCTCTAAAACGTAGTGATAATATAAAGAATGTAAAATAATTAACTGATAATTGCATACAGATAAAATTTTGTAATATTATTTTGGACATATTAATTTAAACAAAAAGTACACAAACATTATTATAATTCTTCTTTTGTAGGTGTGGCTACTAAAACAAATTACATAGCTTGAATTTTAGTTCAGTTGGACATATCTGGTTTAAATTTTCAGCAGAACTCTAGTTCCCTTCCACTTCCAAAGTTCACTGTCTTTCAATATGCCATGTCTTTCTGAAAGTCTTGATTCTGGGTGTCCCCTCTTCCTGAAAAGTCCTCTTCAGATACCTTCAGTTTCCTCAGTTTAAAAAAGAAATTTCCTGTTAAAATTATTTGCAAAAAGAACTCTGACCTATCGATTATAAACGTTCTCATTCAACACAGGTGCACTGCCACCTAGCCACTTCTATTCCTTAGAAACACTAATCATCAAATCTATTATTAATTTGTGTAAAATATTGCACACATAAGAAGTGTGTGTGCTCATGTACTCAAATGCATGATTTTACATTAGTAAAATTTGTGCCCCGTGAAATTATTGGTCTGTCGTTTTATTTGCTGCTGTTTTGATACGAAGTACCTGGCTTAAAATGGATGCATTATGAATATTTGTGGAAAAAAATAAAAGAATCAAATAAGTCATCTAAAATATTTATCATGAGGAAAGTGGAAAGTGAGAAGAACTGACAATTCCTCTACATGTGTACAACAAACCACACACTGTGTTAAGGAGTAACATTTAATATCTTAATAAACCCTTTCAGATAAAGGACTTTGCCAAATTACTACCTAATATTGAGTATCACATCAATGCCTGTTGTTTTACTCAATAAATATTTTGTTGACATATCATGTCTAAAGCTGTCCACCTCATCTAATGTGTAAGACAACAACATATTTGTAGTTGTCAAATAAATTGATGAATCAAATATATTTTCCCCTAACACATTCTAAGCATAAGTGCATTGTTTGTGCCCAATGAAAATCAATGAGTGACTTTGTGTTGATGAACTGCATCCATTAGAGTGGCCAGGCTAAACACTACAGTGGAGTTGGCTGGTGTTTGGGTGGACTATTTGTTCTTTACTGACCATGTGTGATTGGATATCCTCTGGAAATATGCTTTCCAACACAGTAACTTCTAACCATATGGGAGGATATTTATATTAAAATTAAATAAAACTGGAAATGTATTTCCACCACCACATAGCCACATTTCAAGGTCTAGACATCATGTGGTCAGTGGTAGTTTATCAGGCAACGATAGTAACATTCATTAGAGGAGAAGTTATGTTGAATAACATTGTTCTGGAAGGCCTAAAATGTTCTTGGAAGCATGTATACACGCGTATATATGTATGTATGTATGCATATGGATAGATGGATGGATGGATGGATGGATGGATGGATGGATGGACGGATGGATGAATCCAGCTATCTCCACTAGTCAAACAAGTCGGCTTCTTACATATTCTTAAGAAGCTGGCTTGTTTGGCTAGTTTTGCATCTTAACTGAAATTCAAATTCGAGGAGTCCAGGAATCTTTATTCCCATGTGTCTCTGAGCAAACCTCAGACATGGAAAAGGAGATTCATTGTCCATAGATGAAGCATTTAGTCAGACGTGTTCATGCACAGCTAGTGAGTGATGTGGAAAGAACCGCTCCTCCAAGCACTCTGGGCAGGCCTCCTGTTCCAGGGAGGCCGCCAACACCTTGCTAGGATTATGCCTAATGCCTTTCAATATCATCCCTTCCCGTCTGATGTATAAAACAGAAGACAATCTGAAGCGAGGTAAGGTTTTAAAAGTATACAAACTGCACCCGCGGCTCACAGCTAGATGCCCAACCATCACGGAGAAATTTCTAAGTGTTCTTCTAACTGCCATGTCTTTATGATATATCTAACATTGTAATTAGTTTAAGAAGATTGTTGACCAGTGTAATTTAACTTTTTAGGTTTCTACTCCTGAATATTTCCCTCTCTTGTCCCAGAGGTAAAAAACGTCTCCTGTCGTTGCCTTAGGGTATAGATAACAGGAGAGACCAGAAACTGTCTTCTCGTTTGTTTTCCCATCACGGTTACTGGGAAAGGGCTTCCTTGGTGGGAGTGGTCCAGGTCTTGCCCTGTGGCTTTGCCAGTTACGCAGAACTGGTCTTGGACCAAGCCTGGGCATGGCGCCTGGTTCTAACTTGTGGACGATAGCAAGGAGAGACCCGGGAGGGACGTTCACAGGTGGAGAGGGGGCACGTCCTTGCGCTAGGCTCCTCTTCCCTAATAAGGGGGCCTCCAAAGCTCTCAGATCTTCCTGTTTGAGGAGCCACTCGGAGGACGGTGTAGAGTTCATGTATGACGGGGAGTCGGGTGGACCGACGGCCAGGCAGCGAGCCGCGGGGTGGAGGAGCGAAGGCGCGGGGAGGAGGGGGGAAGGGCGGGAAGCGACCCGCAGGCAGCGCCCCGGGGCGGGTGGCGCGGGAAAGGGTCGTACCCGGGCGGAAGGGGCCGCAGGCCGGGGTTCGGCGCCCGCCGGGGGTTTGGGGACCGAGCTCTGCCGACTAGGTCAGCGGGACCCCGGACGCGGGGTCGGGGGCCGGCGGAGGGCGGGACGGGACGGGGAAGGAGAGGGAGCCGGGAGAGGAGGGGCGAGGGGCGGCGGCGATGGAGCCGGGGGAAGCCCGGCAGGCACCGTCTCCTTCCGGAGAGGAGACCGGCTCCGGGCCCGGGAGCTGGCCGGGGCGTCCGAGGGCGGGCG